GGCTCCTCGCGCCACTCAGGTTCCTGGTGGCGAGGCCAGGCCTCAGGTGGCGGTTCCCAGCTGGGCCTGTACCTCTGCTTCGGATAATAACTAAAAATTTAAAAAAAAAAAGTGTTTTCCTTTCCCTGCGAGGATTATGAGGTTTTCCGGAAACCTGGGCGGGTAGGAAGGTGTCATTGCCAAATCATCAGGGGTGTAAGTTTAAATGGGTTAGTTTAAGTACAGTTAGAGTAATTTTCTGTAGCTAGTCTTATGGTATAGCTGTTGTGATGTTTCTGCCTTACATGCCTTGTAAGTGCTTATAGATGGTGTCTTCTCAATATGGGAGAATGGTGTGTGAAAAATACATATTCTTACAGATCTTTTTATTCACCCCGTGTGTTTGGAGGTGTTTAGGGAACGCAGTGAAGCATGTCTGTATAGTTAAAATTTCTTAGACGCAAAAAATAGTTCACAAATGCAGTGGTTACATAGATTCTGTCTATTTACTTCTCATTCCTAGCAACAGTTGCTGTCTTGGGATTTTTTTTTCTCTCTCTTATTTAGTAATGATAGTTTGCCAAAATTTATTTTACTCGTCTGAGTTTTTGAGGTGTCAGGACCCATGAAATATTACCAAAAAGCTTGAAGCATCAGCCAGCTCTGGGACATCCTCCTCTAGGCAGTGTACTTGAAATGTGAAGTCACTCTATAGGGTTATATCAGATATGTGCTGTCTTGCTTTCTTATTCTCTATTCTTCCTAGCCTCTTAATAATAGCATCTCTTTGTGATGGGTTTTCTGAGTGCCACCTCTCCATTTTTCCCCCCACTGCTTCCAACGTTAAGAGTGTTCCTTGGAAACTGTCAGTTTGTATGCTATGACATGAAAAGAGCTGGAAGGAAGAAAAGTAGTGAAGGAGGGTAAATGGTTTCTTAGATACGTTATTCATATGCAGAAGTATGGCCTTACTATACTTTCTCATATGTATGTAAAAGTAATGTCATTTTCCGTAAGTATTCACAGACTTTTTCTCTTATGAGAAAATGGAATGTAGATTTAAAATGATTCAAAAAAAAAAAAAGATTTTTTTTTCAGGTCAAACTTCTATGTTTTAAGTGCAGGTAACCTTTTTTTTGAAAGATTTTGTTTTAAATACAAGGTTGATTATTCTTTTTCATGCCTTTGAAACAAACTTAAAGTAGTTTAAAGCGACCAAAATAAATAACTGTGTATTGTTTCTGTTTTTTAATCAGCCTTCTAGTAGTGGTCGAGCAGCAGAGCTCCTTGCCAAAGAACGCGGAACGGTGCCTGGGTTTATAGGCTTTGGGACCTCTCAGAGTGATCTCGGATACGTTCCTGCAGTTCAAGGAGCAGAGGAAATAGACAGCCTTGTGGATGCGGATTTTCGAATGGTGTTGCGGAAACTCTCGAAAAGGGATGTCACAACAAAACTAAAAGTAGGTATATCCTTTGTCCCCTTATTTTTTCTTTCTTTTGTGGAAGAGCACTGCATACATTTTTCTTAATAGTGGGAGAGTAATGTGTCGAAGTGGCCAGTTCATTCCAGTGCATTTTCTTAGAAAGAATGCACCACCTTTTTTTGCTTATACTTTTACATGTCACATAAACACCCTCTGGATGTGCGCGATTCAGAGGGTGTCTTGGAGGACTTGCAAAAAGGTTCCTCAGGCAGAGCAGTCATAAAGAATCTCTAAAAATGTATTGCATCCTGCTAAGTTGGGAGAAATGGTTTGTTGAAAAGGAAAATGACAGTACATAGTAAAAGCTGGTAAGTAAACAGAATATATCTGCCTGGCATTTCTTAAATTTTTATTTATTTATTTATTTATTTTAGGCTATGCAAGAATTTGGGACAATGTGCAAAGAAAGAGAAGCAGAAATTGTTAAGGGTGTACTTCCTTACTGGCCAAGAATTTATTGTAAAATTTCACTAGTAAGTATTAAAATATGAACATTTAAAACTTTTCTGGCTACTTTCTGTGAAAACCCTTAAGGCAGTCATTTTGATATATTTAGCTCTTTTTTTTTTTTTGGTTGGATTTCCTGTCTCATTCTAAAAAAAAAAAAGATTCAAGTTGATAGAATCCAGTGTTCCTTGTAGTTGATATGTTTCACTGTGCTGTGGGTGAAACCCTGAATTGTTGATGCCTGAACTGTATTTTGGGGTTAAGCTGCTTGTTAGAGCTTTGTTAATAGAAGCGTGATACAGCTTTTTCAAAATAAGTTTTTACATATGCAAGATATCTATACACACATATATATATATGAGAGAGAGCAAGCGCGCATGCGTTCGCAGAACAGAATGTGCTGTTAACATAATTATAGACATTCTTGAGGTGGGATTAATAGCTGTCCATGCTAATTATTTTTAAAAAAAGAAAGTGTATGTAGCCAGCTAACCCATAATATTCTGACATCGTGTTTTAACGCATATCCAAAATATCCCAGCAGGCTACTGTTGGAAACAGGATTTTGGATTAAATGAATCACTCTTCTCACAGAGTTGCTGAATGCTTATGGTTGGAAGGGTCCTCTAGAGATCATCTAGTCCAACCCTCCTGCTCCAGCAGGGACACCTTGAGCACGTGGCACAGGGTGGCATCCAGGTGGGTTTGAAAGATCTCCAGAGGAGACTCCACAACCTCTCTGGGCAGCCTGTGCCACGGCTCTGTCACCCTCACAGGAAAGAAGTTCTTCCTGTTCATATGGAGATGGAACTTCTTGTGTTTCAATTTGTAACCATTACCCCTTTTCCTGTCACTGGCCACCACCGAGAACAGTTTGGCCCTATGCTCCCTACATTCACCTCTCAATCTTCTCCAGGGTACCAGGCCCAACTGTCTTACCTCATAAGATAGATGCTCCAGTCCCTTAATCATCTTTGTGGTTCTACACTGGACCCTCTTTTGATCCAGTAGAGCCATTCCTGATACACTATTGGCTCCTAAAGAATGTAAAAAGTCATGATGCTGTAAATTCATTCACAAATAATTGAAGGTTGCAAATAAGTGATTTGTGTAGTCTTCTGGGTTTTTTAACGTGTCTCACTTCTGTGATTCCCATTTCTTACAAACATTGAAAAGAAAGACAGCTGTTGTTAGGGATATCAGGAAAGGGTTACAATTTT